CTTCTGCTAGTTGGGGTTTAGTCCAAATCTGCATCCTTTCCTTCAAGGCTCAGGGGTCCAAGATTATCTTCTGTGTCTGTATTTATTGGTTTCCCTTTTCTTTGTTGAAGAGGGTCTGTGCAATCCTTCTGCCTAGTCCGCCATCTTGCCCCTAAGGCAGTAAATCTTTACAGAAGTAGATTGCCCCTTCTTCCTTCCAAGGAGTGGCTAGTGGGTTTGAACCACTAACCTTCTGGTTAGTAGTCAAACGCCTTAGGCACTGTACCACCAGAGCTCCTTCTATAGGTATATCCATTAACAAGGCAGATAAAGTACTTGCTTTTATGGAGCTTTTATTCTGCAGAGCTTGTTAACTAAGACATAACTCAAAAGAAAAATCAGCCACGTAAAACCTTGAGGCAGATTATTCCAAGGACAAAGAGACAAGTGCAAAGAGCCTAAGTAATAATGAATTTGATGTACATGAGAATGAAAGACCACTGGGGCTAGACTTCAGTGAGCAAATACGGAGCATTAAACAAGATGAAGCAGCAGAGGCAAGTCTCTTAGGGTACCCATAACCTGGTTCCCTGGGTGGTACAAAGGTTAGAGGTTCCAGTGTACCCAGAAGCATCTCAGAAAAAAAGCCTCGTGGCCTACTTCCCAAAAATCAGCCATTGCAACTCTGTGGAGCACAGTTTTGACACACATGGGGTCACCATGATGAGTTGGGAGTGGACTTGGTGGCAACTGTTTTTTTCTGGTTTAACCATAACTGACTGTCAGGGCACGTTGAGGATGAATGAAAGCAGAATATGAGTTATACCAGGACAATAGGAGTAAATTAGGACCTATGGTCCCCTCTTTATTGGTCATAGTAAGGAGTCTTGATGTTATGTAAGTGTGATAAGATACCATTTCAAGGCTTTAAGAAGGGGAGTGACATGATTTTCTTTTAAAAGATCATTCTGGTTATGTGAAAAATGAATTTTAAGGGAACAAAGGTGGAAGAAGTGAGCTAAGACAATAACCACAATTATGGAAAATATAGCACTTATTGAAGCTCTTTCAGAATGAAGGTGTTTCATTCTTTCATTCCCTGTAACACCTACCACAGTACTAGTGTAAGGACTATGTTGAGAATAAGGAAGGTTTATGGAGCTAATGTCTGCTCTGTGTAGAAGTAAAAAAAAAAAAAAAGAACATGTAAGCAATCGTTTTTACTAAACGAACGGAAAGATAAGGAAGGAAGAACTACATAAAAGCAGAAGAGTGAAAGTGATAGTGCATGTAAGATTCTTTATATAACTGGGGGCTAAGATATAATAAATCAAACTGAAACAGTGATGGGGACCTTGCCCTGCAGACAGGGGTTGTGCGTTATGTTAGTGAACTTACGTTTCATTTTGTATTCACTGGAAACTGTTGAAGGACTTTAGGTAGGATAGTGACATATATGCCATATTGATCACCCTGACATATGGATGAATTTGAGGGCTCAAAGACTAGAGGAGAAAGGAAGTAGAAAAGCTTAAGCAAAAAGTAGAATAGCTAATGCTCAGGAGGGGGGAGAGGAGGGAGAGAAAGAATAATTTATTAAATAGGCAAAGCAATGTCCTACACTTTCAGTTTTTTAACTTTCCATTTAATCTACATAATAATCAGGTATTCTGTAGCGGTTATGTTTTTGTGTCAACTTAGCTAGGCCTGGTTGAGTGGCTGGGCAGCTGGTGGTAGTTATTCCCCATGATGAGACTGGCAATCAACTCCATGGTGGGATCTACCACAAGCAGCTGAG